GGTCATACTAAAATTGATGAATCTAAAAGCATAATAGGTTCCATAGAAAAAATATAGAAGAATTTGAAACAGTTTTTGCAGTGTTTGTTAACTCAATGTATGAATAACGTTCACTTACCGTAATATTGTAATAGAAGGATCTTACTAGAGAAAACGGCTCTAAGTGAAATAACATAAAGCACTGCGACCATAATATATCTTTTGTAAATCAACTAAACTAAACCGTTGAAAAGGCATTTAGCTTTTCAAATGAAGGTCTAGTTTTTCCTCATTTAATATAAGGAATGAGTTCTGAAATATTAATAAATATAAAATAAATATTATATTAGCGATAGCTCAAAAAGCATGTGTATGTTATATAAAGATTCTTTTGAAACTTCAATACTTACTTTAGTACCAAGTTAGACAATAAGCCTACTAGTGTTTTTCAAAAAAGCTGAATCTACTCAGTACTTCGGAACCGGTTCTGGTAGGTCACTGCGTATTAGGAACACATGCGATGAGACTTGTATTACCCCGTAACAACTTTTGCAGTAGATGTGGCTGCGTTTCTGAAAAGAAGAAGAGATAAATATTTCATCTTATGTGTCAGTGTCCATCTTTGGTCAGTAGAAGCTTTAATATCTTTATGTGTCTTTATATCTATAATTTCAATGCGTCATCAATGTTGTCTGTGCATCAACTACTTTGGTTTCCATACGTATTTTAGTGGTTTTCTTGGTGTGGCATAGAAGCAATGTTTTTATCCATGTCACCACAAAGGGCTAATATTTGTGCTCAAGTGGTCTTTGGTGTGTAAGGCCGCCACTATAATATAACCCAACCTAATGTATTTTAACAGTATTAATATAGCAACTTAATTTTAATGTCTGCTTCTGATATCATACTAAACATATCCATAATTGGACTGCTCATTTCTAAGAGCGCAATTGAAAGCGCAAATTGTGACAAGGCGTAATCTCTAATCTAAAAATATAACGTTCATAATCTGAAAAATTAATCGCTATTTCTGAATGTAGTATCTTAAAATTTTTATTGCAACGAATGGGCATTAGACGTGTTCCAATGATTGACATGTATAAACAACAAAATTAGTTACGTAACTACGTAATAGTCTTCCTTTGATCCCAAACGGTAAATACTATAGTTTTATTGTTTATGTGGGAATATATACACCTACAAACGCGCAAATAGTGCGATACTCCAAAAGAGTTCCGACGTATCTACTACAATGTCGAATGCCCGGTTTTGCTTCCGACAAGCGAAACAATTGAGTTACAGTCATGCTTGTTGTGCTGCAATTGGCAGTGAAAAGTGGAAAGTGGAAAATGTGTGGAGAGGAGGGGGATTAAACGAATATACTTCAACACCTTGCAAAGTTCTCATACAATTCGTTGTTTTCCAGCAGGAATTAATTTACGACAGCAATTAAAAATGTTTTCCCCGCTTTTTGCTTGAATTTTGTTTTCATTTTTTCTTCTCTACTAGACTTCTTCACTGGTTCCACTTTTAATCATTGAAAATGCCAACTAATAACGAATATTTAATAAAAAACGAATGCAACACTGGGGCACAAAGCGAGCGCTTAATTTTCTTTGGTGATTTCAGTCCACACAAGTTTCGGCCTTTGCTTCATTCTCGTTTTTCGTATTTACCCAGTTTATCTCCGATTTGGGAATTACGCATGCCGCACAGTAAAATTTTGATCCTGGTTATAAAGCGCATGAGATAAACGTTGGAGTTGTGAAATAAGTTTATGGAATACATTGTAGAGATTAGATAAAATGACCTTTTGGTTTGTTGAGGTGTTGGGGAAATATTCTGTTATTCTGTAGATAGTTTTGTTAGCCGTACGGCAATTAGTAGCTAAATTATATAAAACACAAGCAATAAAGGAAAAATGAAATACATATATTATATATAACAAAAACAATATTTATAATTTTCACTTCTCTAATTTAATTAATCTTGTTCGTACCTCTATACCTTTATATGTCTATAGCTATAAGATTGGAATGTTTAAGAAGACCTGAAGTATTGAAAGAATTGCAATACAATTACATCAATTCAGATTAATCTATTTAATTATTTTATTATTGATCTATTTCCAATGTTGTTTTAACATAAAATATAATTATAAAATATAATTACAAACAAAAATATTTCTACAGAAATTTTATGTGAAATTATTCTATAATTTTTTAATTTGCGTTTTTGGTGCTGTTAATTGGCGCTTTAATAACGATTTTTAATAACGATGTGACGATTTACTGGCTCAACGATATGTCGGCCTTTGTTTGCAAGTTAACGCGTTCTTTTAAGAAAAAATTCAGTACAGCCATTGAAATATGCCTATAAAGACAGCAGTCTTGTAGTAGCTTTGTTGACGGGTCACAGTCGATTAAGGAGCCATGCTAAAATTTTGAATGTTCTTTTCGATCATTCCTGTCTCAGTTGTAGAGAGGATTATGAAAATGACTGAAAACTACTTTGTTACTGCCCAGTGTATACGCTACGCCAATTTACTATTTTAGGGGTATCTTTGCTAACTTCAGGACGTCTCTCTAAAAAGCAGCTTTACTAAAGCTGCTTTACTAAAGGTTCAATGTGGGTTTTAAACCAGTTTCTTATGAGTTTGTTATGCGATAACATAATGCGCCAATAGGCTTAAGTGGGTCCTTAGGATTACCGGTATAACCTAATCCGGCACTTTTTATTTTTCACATCATTGGTATTTTTCACAGCTTGTTGCTGACAGTTACGGATTTTAAATTTAAGAATTGACTTCAAAAATTTATTAAATTTAGAAACTCTTTGGTTTGAAAATAGTATGTTGTTATGTAAGACTTTAGCACTTTATTTACATTGAAGAAAATGTTGTCCAGAAAAAAGTATTAATACTTCTTAGAATTTCTCTACTGGTGTGATTAACGATAAGATTTTATTAGGGTAATTCAGCCTCTTTTGTACTTATTTTACTGCATTTGATTATCAAAGTACATATTTATATAAAAAATAAATCAACAACTGAGTATTTATATCCATATTTACAGTAACAGAACATCAGTTGTTATTATCCAACTCGTACAATTTAGAGCTCTATTAATTTAATGATTTACTTAAGAGTCATTAAATTATTTTTTTTTTAATTGCTTGATAGTTCAATGAATACTAAGTACAGTAGAATCCCATATAAAGTGTGGGTACTTTTTGCGCAGTATAGGAAAACCAAAATCAGAAGTATTACAGCACTTATTTTAAAGTTTTTATATTTGCTGCCTTCTGTTCCTAATATCTGAGACGTGGGTTCCTTTATTGTTATATATTAGTATCAATTTCTGAATAAGAGTTTTTGTAACAAAGAACCTCGAAGTGTTCTTTGAAAAAAAATATGGATACGTTGTTATGAAGACGATTATAAATGGTGATCTAATTTTTTGAAATGCATTTATTTCTAAAGAGATATTGGTTTGATACTTTGAACTCTAATTTCAATTCAAAGTTCAGAGTTTTGAAAGTCTATGTTTCAATTCGTTGTTTCGCTCAATTACGTTAAATTTTCGGAGGTTTTGAATTTTGAAAACTGGGTCGATTCAGATTTGATGCCCAGCACTGGCATATATTTGAAAAGATTTAAAAATATATAAGGGACTTCATTTCATAATTTGCATATAAGACAATTTAAGCTTGGATATATGAATATATTTGCGTAAAATATATAATTAATTATGTTGAGGTCAGTTGAGTCAGTGCACTTGAGCACTTTTATTCTCTACTAACTGTGAGGTTTCTTTATAACTCCTCTCTACGCCTTGACTCGATTATTGTTTATCACTTCATCAGACTAAGCAATAACTAACCTTAAACCTGCATACCAACCCGAGGAGCCTGTAACCATTCTGAGATTTGATAACGCGATGTTGGTAAGCCTATCAGCTTTCGTGAATACTTTCACGACTCTGTGGTTTGAGTATTTTTTAATCGGATTAATCTTGAAGTCTATGAGGATGTTATTTGTCATAATGTACCATGGCACCTTAAAAGGTCTTCAGAGAGCCTGGCGTTGTGCAATTTCTAGCTAGCGAATAATAGTGTTTAAAGCCTTGCTGAACGCTACACACCCATATAGAAGTAACGGTCGAATTATTTGGTTATATATCAGCTTCCTGTTCTTAGCATTGAGACGTTCATTTTTGAATAGCGGTTGGAGATGATGTAAATTTTTTGGCACAGCTAATTCTTTTCTGTTGAAAATGTTTAAGCCGTATGAATTGTTTGTCCACCGTGATGCCTACATAATTAGAGCTACCCTCCCAATTTATTATCATATCTTCCACTCTCATTTTCGTGGGATTCTGTCTCCTCTTACGTATAATGAACAGAGTCTTAGTTTTTACGTTATGGAATTTTATGTATATATTTTAAAAATTTAAAAATTGTAATTTATTAAATGAATAATGTGCGCAATCATTACTAGAGATAAGATATTCTTAACAACGTGGATGAAAAATTGTTATATACTTTTTACATGTTCCTGCTATATATTATTCACTTATTTTGAGTTCTGATTGTAATTTAGAGAGTTAATGACTATTTAATGTTATAGTCAAGCTATTAGTCAATTTCACGATCAAAGATCGAGTAGACAACGTCGCAGTCGCAGCAGCCCCTAAGACAGTTCACATAAGTCGCTGAAAGTGTTGTAGTTTCACTTTTAAGAAAATCATACAAAATACTAATAACTTTAATAGCGTTAAATAGAATAGTATCTATATATACATATATATAACTGTAATCTTAACTGAGATTTAAAAAATTTTACTTCAGTTTGGAACAAAAAAGTCTAAAGTCGAAAGCAGAAACTTTTATTGCGTTTTTTGTAATTTATTAAATGCACATTCCATACAGTCAGCTTTGTAAATTTTATAACAAACATGACTAATTATTATGTACTTACTATTCTTTTTAATTAAGTATCTAATTGCAATAAAATATTCAGAATGACAACAAACAAAGGTAATAAATTAGCATTTTGAGTGCCTCATAAAAGTGTCCAATAAAAATTCCACTTGATTGGGAAAATGCAGTAAAAACATTATAGGATATATTAAAGATAAAACGAGCTATTCAATGAAGCAGGAATGTATGTGTGCATTTCTAAAGGTAAGTTGTCCTTTACTACGAGGATATGTTAACTATTGTTTACTCTTTCTTTCAAAGTGTCTATTATCTCATTATTGGCTCTTATTAAGTTCTGATTGCGGCATTTGGAGTTAATGATTATTTAATGGCACTGTTAAGTTGTTAGCCAATTCAGCATAGGATTATGTGATTGGACTTATAACCGTCATTATTCACACAAACTAGCCCACATTTAATACGTCACGATAAGCGTTCAGAACACCATCTCTGACATTGATATGACGTATTAACTTGTTGCGCATTGCTGCCAGTAAGCAGCACTAATGATTATTATCCCTCCGAAGCTTTCCCTCCGAAGCTTTCCCTCCGAAGCATTCCTAAATTTATTTGAATCAGCCTGCAGCGATTTTGCCAAAAGTAGAAAATGAAATAAGAAATTATAATTTCTTTTGAACATTTAGAAATCAATCAAGTTTTTTTTATTTTTTTTTTTCAGTATTTAACTTATGTAAATACGCAATCTGAATTTGTGTACCCGTCATCCTTGCTGGAGTGCTGGAGTATACAGTATTTAATTTCATTCCCATGTCGAATGTGCAGCCACCTGATACGTGCGATGCATACGCTTCAGCGTCCCTTTAATAATCTCTCGGATTGCTTACTATTTTTAAGCCACATGTGTTATTCTTTTATTTAAACTAACAAAGGATACTTTCATCTTTTTTTTGTGATATATCTCTTTTTGTATGCATCATGAATACATACATACACACACATGTCCATGTAGCGCGATAATACTTTGAAGACACCTCAGTCATTGTTCCCGTACATTTTGTATGTAGCTATTTTTATCCTCAAAGTGATTATTCTGAGTACTGTAGTGTACCACGCATTGGTGAAGAGTGATTATTTATTTCATTGGGTGTTAGAAGTAGTTTTTCATTTTTCAAAAATACAAAAACTATTTTATATTATTTTTAAACATTTGTTATGGGTAAATAATGTTAAAAGATAATCTTCCAAATTATTTGTAGACTGAATTCTTTAAATGGGTTCTAATCTATATAGTTCGAAACTTTTTTGTGCTATGCTGAGATCAAAGTTTCATATATTAATTATCTGTTTATTAAGTTTATAGGTTTCTGCTAAGTAACATAACAACTTTGAAAAATATATCAACTTTTAAAAATAACACAGATGTTCTGCAGGTTCTGTGGAATATTAAGTGAAAATTTAGTCCATCTTATATGATCGGTGGACCTGTGATTGTCGAGAAATGTGATCAGTCGAAACATAATTTGTAAAATTGAAACTTAGTTAAATAGATCTCACAGATCATATTATCTATTAAGGGTAATAGTTATAATAACAATAATGCAACTAGTATTAACTATTGACCAAGCAACACTTAAATGTATAAGTGAGATAACCAGTTTAATAGTCATATATATTTAAAACAGAATGGAGTAAAATCAATTAAAAACTATTCTAATACTATTTAGAGTATGACTATTAGGGAGTATATATAAATGTGATATCACGAGTGGCAGGTCCATATAAAACTTCGTCTATCGTAACCAATTAGGTTAGCTCCTTAAAAGAAGTGTCATGGAGTCTATGAACAATAGTAAAGTCTAAGATATTTGAATTCAAATAGTACCAGTGGGAATTTTATAATGTGTAGTATTTCGGTTCATTGTCTTGTCTTGATAACAACGCAGATAAGTCATTAGATAAATCGCTAGTGATAACAGCTTTGTCATACTGAAGAAGGGTCTCCTTTTATAAGACAAATATTGAAATTATTAATATTCTTAACGAATGTTTGAAATCTCATGCTAATAGCTATGTTTATCCTTATCTCATCATAAATCAATGAAATAACTTCATATTAGCTAACTCCACAAAGCTACGACCTGTAGAACTGTATGCCTAAATTTGATAATCCAAAAAAGAATATACTGATTTTGATAAAACTTTAGCGTATCATGATATGACTGTTTTTTTTTCTTCATTGGCGGCACAATTAAATTATAGTCTTCGCTTTCCTGATAACACTTAAGGCTTCATGTTTTGCCCTGTTTTTAGAAGGAAAAACTCATCATCCCAATTCAAACACTCAATAATGATTTTCGGTGTAATTCCTTTCTGCCAAGGCCAGCACCTATTAAGTAATTTAAGGTAAAATGGCAAGCTACTGTATAAATTATTTTAATGGTACAAGACCTTTCTGACTATATTTCTTTACCTTTCTAATAATAACGTTTTGTAGAAATCGCATTTTCTACTGCATGCAAATTTTCATTTGCTTAATTATGAGTCATGCTTTAATCTTACTATATTTTTTATTACTATATAGAAATAATGTTGCATTAAGATTTAAAATTTAAATAAATGTTCTATTAGTTTTTTCACATATTGTTGTAATGTCGTTGTACAGTCTTTATTCTACTCGCAGCAGTCTCTTATTATTTTTTTACTAACACTTCACTATTTTTACATTGCACTTTTGGTCCATTAGGTTAACTATACAATTTTTCATATATTTTGCTTAAAGGTCACATTAGTGGCTTTCAAGCTGTAATGGACCATTTGTCATTTTTTTGCGCTCTACCCACGAATTTCTTTTGCGACATTTCAATTCAGAGAAAGTAAAACCTGTTGCGATTGTTTGTTTTATAGCGAAAAGGATAACACAAGTCTGTACTGTAGATACCTTTGTGTGAATAAAATAGTACGTTTACATACAGTATAAACAGGAAATGGTCATATTATATATACTATATGGATTACTTTAGCGACCATAGAATATGAATGGCTAAGGGGCTTTTAAGAATGAAAATTTCAAGTCTACATTTAAAGTATTTAACTAACTTGTGGATTAGAGTAGATATTTACTAAAGTGGTTTTTTCAAACAATAGTGAACTACAACAACAAAAATTCATTTTATATTATTTTAATTAATTGAATTTTTGGCTGACCATACTGTTTTGAGTATTGGCCAATACCCATCATCAGTGGTCCTAGAATTATTTCTTATATTGAATTAGTCGTAAATAATTTTTTGAGACTGCAAGTACCAAGGGTTGAACTCGTACCCTGACAAATTTAAAGCTCAGAGTCAGCGTACGTTAGCCAACTGACCCAAGGCCGTACTTGACTTATATGTTCAAACTTGGAGTTTTGTTAATTTGCTGTGAAACTTCATTAACAAATTCACTTGCTGTGTTTATATTAAAACGAAATCATAAACCAGCCGTAGAATAATTGGATTAATTAATTATATTTTTTATTTTTAATTTTAAAATTTCAATACTATTCTGTTTATAGAGGCATTATGTGTTGAATGATTTATATATTCTGCCTTATGTATAGAACCTTATGCATAGAGTAGATATTTGCTATATATTAACTACGAAGATATTCATATAATAAAAAAAAAACCAATTTGAATGAATTTCACCAAAAACAATAAATTTATATAAACTCTATATTTTAACATATTCCAACTTTTAGTCGTACTCCTACTCCACATACTCAAATTTAAAAAAATTTATAAAATTAAGTTTAAATACCTTTTAACCAGAACATCAACTTGTGGTAAAAACCATTTAAATAAGTTATGCACACAAGCATTGCCTCCTCTATGGTTGAAGGAAACGCGCTTAGTGTTGGCTCATGCAAGGCTTCGGAACGGCATTAAAAAAGTTTTTATCAAATTGTTATTTATGAGCTTGGATTTGTGGAGAGTTTACATATTGCATAAATGCAGTTGTGAGCTAAATTAATTTCGTTTATTTAAAAACAATTTAAAAATACTTTTCAAAAACTTTAAAAAATGTTTCGTTCTTTTAGGTTCCTGTTTGGAATATGGACACTCCTGTTGGGGTGGTAAGTCAGAACTTAATAGAACTGAACCTGCCTCAACGCCAAAATGCTTTAAAATTTATTTTTTTTTCAGCACATGGTAAGCGCTCTGGCAGTAAATCATTCAACACAGCGGTAAATATGGCTAACGGCGAATTTAACGGTGCGAAAACAAATGGTGAAGTTTTAGGCAAGGTGAGTATGAAAGGGTTTACGATATAATAAAAATTATTAACGGTTTTATTTGTTTTCCTTTCAACTGTTTTAAGTTTTTTCCCAGTGTATATATATAAAAATTATTTTCCTCCTTAGGTTGGAATTTATGATTTGATATATATACGAATACCGTGAGACCTTGCCATAACATTACTGTTTTAAATTTGCAAATTGATATAGTAACATAACTATTGAAATTGGATATATCAAAGTATTACTATACTGATTTTTATTCTTAATAAATTTAACATAATATTGTGTGGGTTTTTAATATAATATAATAAAATAAATTTAATTTTAATTTTAATTTAATCAGCAATTTATAAAAAACAGTAACAGGTCAAGAAGCAGGTTTTCGATTCAAGAATAGTTTTGACTTGACTCACATATTAAAAATTTCCTAAGTTTGCATTCCTAAGATTTGCAAACGTCCTTTATGCATTTTGTAAGCTTTTTTTAATATCAGCTATTATACGAACTTAAGTTGAAGTAATATATCAATATATTTCCTTTAATCATGGATTGCGTTACTAGCAGTTATTCTGAGTGAGCTACCTTACCAGATGCTAATTCGTAGATCCATGTTCTTATACTCCAAACTAATATTTATTATTAATGACTGCATAAGACTGCACGTGATAAACTTTAGGTAATCACCAGATTCTAGATCTATCAATTTAGCTTACTATATAGACTTTATTCAATTTCAATTAGTTGAACATGAATGAAGAAATACAAAGAATAGGTAAAATGTTTATCTAGTAGTCTAGATGGAAAGATGGAAAGATAATTTCAGGTAGCTCCATTGTTTATAATTCTTAAAATTTTTTCTGAAATACTAATTAAATAAATTCCGTTCTAGGTATATATAAATTGAACATATTGATAGAATAAAGCATGTGTATAATACATATAAAACATATTATAAGTTAGAATTAAGAATATCTAATGTCAAAAAATATCTTAGTTCAGTCCGTATATTATATAAGTCGTAGCTAACTGTTATACATCATATAAGAGAGTTTTGAAGCGTATATTTTTAAATAGCGATTCATTTCAGTAGTTCGATTTTCTGAACCATTTGTTCAGTTCGTAATACTCGTATATATGTAGTATATATGTGTAAGTTTTTGAACTCAAATATGTTGAATTTGTTCATTATTTTCTGCAATAAGTGTATATTTATACTATATAGAATATAAACTTATATTTATTATATACAAATATTAATACTAACGATGTTTATATTATATAAAAACAATAAAATTTTATATATTGTATTTATTTATAGGCGATTTATGACAATCTCGAAGAACTACCACCTTCAATTGAAAACTCACCATTGTCTAGTGATGAATTAGTACCCGAAAACTTAAACGATAAAGTCAAAATAAAAAATATATTACAGCAAAATTCAAACTTCCGTCAACAAAGTCGAAATTTTAATAAGAAAACGAAACAATTTAAAAACGATGCAGCGTCCGAACACGATGAGCAAAACCAAAACCCTGAGAGATGGCATAGGATGCCCTTCTATAACTTCAAATCATTCGGAAAATTACCTATAAATGCTGAGGGCAATAATTTTCTGCAACAGTTAGAAGCCGCGCAGCGTGTCAACACACAAATCGGTGCAGAGGACAACGCATATTATGATTTCAACTAAATTATTGATTTCAAATGCAAACTCACCATACTTCAACTCAAGCGTGTTGAGTTTGTTTATTATTTTCTGTAATAAATATGCTTATCCTATATATAAAATGAAATTATAATTATTATAATTATTATATACAAGTACTAATGTTAACGATATTTATAATATATAAAAAAAATATTAAAATTCTAAAAGTTTTTAATATGCCTCAATTACTATCAACTACTGAAACGAATAACATCGCATGCTGCTTAATAATAATAAAAAATTACTTAAACTTTAAATGTGTATATTATAAGTAATTATCTGTAATTAAAGTCTTTTTGAAATATTAATAGTTACTATATTTATTGTATGAGAATTATATATATAAATTTGTTTTGTTTTAATTATCATGCAAGTGCAGAAAATACAAGAGTATTATATTGATAAATATTGATGCAAGGGCTGGTTGCATCAATATGGCAACAAAAATGATATATATACATTAAAATATATATAATTTATTTGAAATAATAGATTGTTTTTCTTTTATTATTTGTTTTATTATACAAATTAAAAAAAATATTATAAAAAGTAATAACAAATTGAGTGTTTACGTCTACGGTGCCAGCACACATAGTTTTTAATATATGCATTTGTGTGCCATTTTTTGACTTCAGGTATACAAAATTTTGAAACCCCCACTATACTCTCTATTCATTTTAACTGCCTTTTATAGGCTTATCAAAACGCAGTTTAAACTGAAAAGAAAAAAATTGTTGATCTTGAACTTAATCTACTTAGAAATGAACAATTTTAAGCTCTTATTTTAACAGGTATCTCGAAACAAGCAGCGTCTCCATTTTTGTCATTAAGTCCCCAATGTACTGTCAGACTGACGGTCGGATATACGGGCAAAATTTTGAAACTATTTTTGTAGACATATGTTTCTCCGGCTTTCAGCGGACAACCTACTTTGTTTTCTCCTTCTGCATCATAAATGAATGGACAAGCACTTGTGCCATAATAACCCGGGAAAGGTAGTGGCACATCAAGCAGTATGCCTTGAGCATCGGTATTTACATCTTCAAAGTCGCGATTCGGTGTGAATTTCATTGAAATGCTGGCATTAGTATTCCGTTTGAGTATGC